CAAGGGGAGCGGCCCAGGAGGGCCTCCGCCCCTTTTTCTCTCCGTCGCCCACGGGCGTCGCGCCTACGATTGCCTCCACGCCAGCCGTGCGCGGCCCGCGGGCGCGCCTATGCCCGCCCACTATACACCTGTCGCTATGCATAAAGGATTCGAGCTAATCAGGCCACTCGACCCCTCCATCCTCTCACCTCCGCTCCAAGTTTGCAAAGTCTGCTGCCGTCCCTCTCTGCTGCCGCCTCCCCTCCGCCCGCGCCCCTTCCCCTCCCGCCTCCTTGGTCCCCTTCCACCCGCATCCTCCCTCCCCTGGCTCCTTTTGCAGCTGTTTCCTCCTTGCCTACATCATGTGTACTCGCCACCTCCTCTCCCCCACTCTCTCTCCTGACGCCACAAGACTCTCCGCCCCTCCACCTCAACCCTTTCCGCCCCAGTTCAAACCCCCCGCGACCCTCCTTGACTCTCAGCAGCAGCGCGAGTAAGACGGAGAGGTGCCGGGCGGGCAAGGGGTTGGGTGGGAGTAAGGGGGGGGGGGGGGCGCCATGATGATGAACTTGACAAAGGACTCTGGCAAACGGGGCATACTGCGGTGTGCAGTTCACACCAGGAGGAGAGGGGCCCGAGGCCAGCGGGGCGTGGCGGAACGGGGTGAGGCAGAGGGGGGGGGGGCTTGGAAGGCGATTATGAAGACGGGCAGCGAAAGACAGTAGTGGTGGCGGTACGAAGGGGGGCACGAGGGTAGACAGTAGGGGCGCTCCCAAAAGGACGAGGAAGGGGAGGGAAAGGGAGGGAGGGTGGGGGCAGAAGAAGCAGTGGAGTGAAAGGGCACCCGATTGATCCCAGCGCACCTAATGCCGCTGATGATGCTCGCCGCCGATGACCTTGGCGGTGGCGGCCAGGTGCGGGCACGAGGGCGCGGGCCAGGGCCGCCTGTCCCCGCGAGGCCGTGGCGGTGGTGGTGGTTGGTGGGGCTGCGCTGGCAGCACCTCGCAGGTGCTTGCTGGAAGAAGAGCTGGAATTGAGCGGTCGTTTGCTTTAAATCCCCTGCCCGGGGCTGGCGGCGTCGGCCTGACGACGGCTGCCTCTCTCTTTACTCGCCGAAGCCCGCTCCGCCCCTCGCTGTAAGGAGCTGCGAGGGCCAGGGGGAGGCGCGACCGCTAAATTATGCAATGCTTCTCTAGCGTTTAATTTGTCCCGGGGCTCTGGCGCGAGCGGGGCTGGCAGGCGCCAGCTCCACGGCGAGCAACACCTCTCCGGCGCGAGACTTGGCGGACACGGGGGTGGAGGTGGCGGAGCTGGCGCTGGCGGTGCTGGCGGGTGAGCTCTAGCGATTGCTCTCCGTCTCTGTTTCTCTGTCTTCGTCTCTTTTTCTGTCTCTCTCCGATCCCCTCCTCCCCTGTCGCCCACACACACACACACACGCTCTGGTGGGGGAGGAAGCGGGCTGTGTGCGCTGCGGCAGTTCGAATGACAGCGCGGTGCTTCTGGTTCTGGTTTTACTCACCGAAGCCGATGCTGCTGCTGCTTTCTCGTTCTCGTTCTCGTCTCACTTTTCTCTCGCCCGAGTCGAATGAGACGCGCGAGTGTGCGAAATTGAGCGACCGGGTGGGTGGGTGGAGCCGGGAGAGGGTGAGTGGGGAGGCGGTAGGCGGCCGTGCAATATGTCCCGCAGCGCGCCGCCGCCACCACGCGCCGCCACGCCCGCGGCGAGGACGGCCATCGTTGTGATACGAGATTGTGTGGAGATGGGTTGGAGAGGTGCGCGGCGCGCGCGTGGCGTCGCAGGGGGGCGGCTGAGGCGTGTCTGTGTGGTCCTCCAGGAGGCCCACGCAGCCGTGCTCGAGCCCCAGCCCGGCGGCGGCGAAAGCCCTTTGGGCAGGAAACAAACACATGCGATCCCTCATGCACCGCCCCGTGCCAGAACAAATAAACCACTGATGACGCAGTGTTTGCGCCGACGTGATGCTACTGCCTGCCTCCGCCCTGCCCCCGCACTGCCCCCACACTGCCCCCGCCCTTGCTCCCGCCCTGCCCCCGCCCTGCCCCCGGCCCGTCCTTGCTAAGCGGCCGTCGCCGCACCACCAGCCCCACAGGATTTTGGAAGGATCACGGGTAAAGACGAAGAGAAATGCCTGTCGCGTGGGGCGCTCGGTGGTGACGCGCGAGACCGAGAAAAATGAAGAGAGAGAGGGAGAGAGAGAGGAGAAGAGAAAGAGCAAAGCGTTCAAAGAGGGGGGGGGGAGTTGGCGGTCCGAATGGAGAGCAGCGGCGTAGTAGAGTGTCGTGTGTTATTGCCGAAGGCAGCTGCCGAGCTGCCGCCGCTCGATGTCCTTTTTAGCGGCATCCTGTCAGGACCTCTCCAAGTGATTTGCTTTGAATGGCACGCGCAGCCGACCCCACTCCTCCTCCCTCCCCTTCCCCGAGAGCCTAAGAGCGAGTGCGCCCCCGCCATCAGCATCAGCCTACGCTCTCTCTGTATCTCCACCCCTCCACCCCTCCTCCCTAACCTCTCTTCCTCGCCTCATTCTCCTCTCTCGATCCGATGCGCGTGTTTTTTCGGAAAAGGGGGGAGGGGTTGAGACGTTTGAGACCCGCCTCGGCCCCCTCCCTCGGGGGCGCGTGCGATTGGTGATGGGTACTCGTGTGGGAGGGAGTGCGGGGGCAGCAGTCGGATGCGGGGGGTCATTCGATGGCAAATAAGGGGACAGGGACATGCGTGGCGTGGTAACTGTGAGGGGGATAGGCTCACCCACGCTAACACCGGGTCCGGCAGCAGCAGCAGCAATAGTAGCAAGCGGAAGGGGCAAGCAAGCGGCAGAAGGGGCAAAGAGGCAGCAGCGGCTGCCGCCGCCCGGGAGGCCTGCAACCGCTCCGGCCGAGGCGCGTGGGTGTGCGGCGGCCGGCCTACCCTTCGGTCCGCGGGCGCTCCGCCGCCTGGCCCTGGCCTGGCCTGGCCTGGCCTGTGCCGCGGCGGGGCGGGCTGGGCTCGCAGGCCGTGGAGGTTTCCACGGTTTTCATTCCCGTCGTGCGTGTGCGTTGAATCCGGAATGCCGCCCGCCTGGCTGCCGCGCGCGCCCCCGTGCGCGCCTGGTGGTCTGCGGGGCTCATGGCTCATGGCTCATGCCTTTATCCGGCGCGCTTGCTGCCCCGGTGAGCGCGCCAAGGTTATGGAAGACGCCGAGGGCACAGGGGTGTATGGGTCCTCCTGATCTTTCCGCCACCTGGTCGCCCACCTCCTCCATCCTCCCCTGTTCCCCCCATCGCTCTTCGCATCGTCAGGAATTTTCAATTCTTCCTCTCCTCGTCACTTCCGCTCCAGTCGGGGCGCAACGAGGAAAAGTCGCGCGCCCTCGCTGCTCTCTCGTTATTGTAATGACGAAACTCACTCTTACTTTACGTGGAGCTTGTTTGCGTGGCTATCGACGTGGGCCATGAGGTAAGATCGTAAGAAACCTATACAGTGCACGGCATACTTGCTGGAGTTGGGTTTCGTGAACACCGTGTTTTGTAGGAGTTTTACAAAGAACAAATTCGTTCAGTTACGAACGTAAATCGTAAACCACGGAGTTTTTTTGCCACCATGCATTGACATATTTAAGATCAGGCACAAAGATATCATTTGAGGCTATGCAATCCGTTCGGGCTGCTCAAATTGAATAATCCATATTGCCCATTGTCCACGCAACATGAAACATGAAAAGTGTTTTAAAAATCATCTCTCTCTTCTTTGCAGCGTTACCAACTACTTCCTGGTGAACCTCTCGTTCGCGGACCTGCTGGTGACGCTCATATGCATGCCCATGGCCGTGGGCACCAACGTGTCCAAGCTGTGGATCTACGGCGAGGTCATGTGCATGCTCACCACCTATTTTCAGGGTAAGTCCCTTCCAGGAACGCCCGACCAGCCTGCTCCGCTCGATTCGGCAGGCGGCTCCGACCACACGACGGAGGAACCCGTATGCAAACAGTCACCCCGCTCCTCATACGTCCCCTTCGCCGAACTCCTCACTCATGCTGCTACCCACTTTCTCTTCGCGTCACTTTATCCTCTCTCCCTCTCACTCGCTCC